TAATTAACTACAAAAGCTAGGCTTTAAGTTTTCAGTAGTTCCAGGATGGCAACAATTTGTGATCAGGCAATTAAGATATAGCAAATTGTTCTTTTTTTACGTAAATAAAATTAATGTAATATGGAGGAATAAATAGGCAACTGAAACAGATCCAAAAATAGCACTGGGTTTCGTAAATTATAATGGAGGAAATAAATGACTATGGTAAAGTAGTAATTATTGAGAAATACTAAAAATAGTCCTAGGCGTTGGAAGGTTCATAGAATTTTACACTTAATTTTATACTTGTACTCTCAAAATACCCTTTAAGATGATTTGAAAAAAAATGTAGCAAGTCATAGAATCACACAAATTGGAAGGGACCTTGGGAGCTTATCTAGTCCAACCTCCCACTCAAAGCAGAGGGAACACTGAATGTAAATCAGGTTACTCAGGGCTTTTACCAGTCAGGTCTTGACATCTCCTAAGGACAAATTCCACAGTCTGCCTTGTCAGCCTATTCTACTACTTAATTTTTTTTTTTTTTTTTTTTTTTCTCCCTTTATATCCATTTGGGACTGTGCATGTGTCACTCTATTACCATCACCTCTCACTCTTCTGCTGTGTAAAGAGCATGGCTCTGCCTTGTCAGTAACCTCCATGGGAGCATGGGGGGGCTGCTTAGGTTCCACTAATGCTTTTTCTTCTTCTGGTTAAAGAAGCCCTGTTTCCTTATAGGGCAAAAGCTTCTACCCCTGACCATCTTGTGGCCTTCCATCAGCCACACACAAATTTATCAACATCTTTCTTACCTGGGCACGTGATGGGGGACAGGTAGACAAATTTAGAAACTGGGTTCTAGGTACAGTCTGATGAGTGCGGAATAGAGGGGAATGGTCACTTTTCTTGATCTACTGGCTGTGGTCCTGTTAACTCAGCCCAGGACACCTTCCACCTTCATTGCTCCCAGGACATGGTGCTGTCTCCTCTGTAGCCTGCTGCTCACCAGGTCCCTTCCAGAAGAGTTGCTCCCTGCCATGAGGCCCCAGCCTGTACGGTGCGGGGGTTTAGTTTGTCCAAGGTACAGGATTGGCGTTGGTCCTTGTTGAGTGTCATGACATTCCTGTTGGCCCATTCCTCTAGCCTGTCTAGGTCCCTCTGAGTGGCAGCCCACAGAGAGGTGAACATCTGATCGTTGTACAATCTGCTTCCCACCTCCGCTTTGCCACACAGACCCCCTCAAAAAAAAAAAAAAAAAGCAAAGAAAAACCCCAAGAGCCAAAGAGGCGCTTATATTTAAGGCCCTTAGTGGGTTAAGTACCATTGCAGCAACTTACAGCGTGGCCTGGATGGCCCTGACATGAGCTGTTGAAACAATGGCAATCCGTATGTCTTGAAACACACTTCTAAGGAGATAAGGGAGTGTGCTTGTATAGGCCTGTGTAATTCAGTAGGAGTCCAGGTCTGTTCAAACTGACTAAACCAGAACATGCTTAGACTTTGAAACTCTGCAAGTGTATGTAAACCAGAAAGTTTTACAAACAAAATATATCTATATAAAGGAATATATGAACGCAAATCTGGGTAAATAAGCCCATTAGAGGCATTTTTTTTAAAGTTTTGTGCTTTCACAAGAGGTTGGACGAGGTGACCTCCAGAGATTTTTTTCCAATTTAAATTTCTCAATGATTTTGTGAAATGTATTTGGCCCCTTGGCCCAGAAAGATAAAATATCTCATCAATGTTTATACCTCAGCAATATAAATTTTCTCTAAAATCACATATCAAAATTATAATTTGAAGAGCTGATAATCAAATGTCCTCCATCTTCAGGATGAGATATAGCTAAAGCACATTTTCCCAGTTCTTTCATCATCTATAGATAATATTCTGCTGTCACCTCTTCTGCTATGATACCACTTTATAACCCTCTAATATTTATGTTGGTTTTCCTGCTTAATGTTTTGTAAGCCTCACAGCAATATGTTACATTTATTTAGTTTATTTTACTTCTGCAGGGTTTGGATGATCAATATTATTATTATTATTACTGCTACCACACATTTCTGATCATAGATAGCATTCTGCTTCCTTCAGCCTTTTCAAGTTGTCAGGAAGTGTTTCATCTTCAGGCATGAAGGACAAAAACAAATCTTTTGTCATTAAGGTCAGTGAAACTAGGTTTGTTTCCATTTCTATGACTGAATGAAATCCTGATTCTTTGATGACAATGAGACTTTTGCTACCAAGTAAAATGATTCTGTAATTTCACTGTCTTATTTCCATAATATTACTATTTTGCTAGGAAAAGAAAAGTCTCTTACCTTTCTGCTGTTCTTGAAAATACTACTTTGATTTTCACAGTGTATTTCCAGAGGTGTCTCAACTGTTATTTGCCATTAATTTTGTGTTTCGTATTCTAACGCTACACATAAATAATCAAGTTTACCTTATTCAGGATAGTTTAACTTACCATTCAATCCTGTGTTTTTAGGGAAGGGCAATCTGCCTCTTTTATTCATGCATGTGAGTGTGTCCCTCTCTTTGAGGCATTACAGACTCTGCCTTATTGGCCAGATTTTCCTCCTGCTTAATATACTGAATAGACCATCCAATCCCTCTCTTTCAAAACATTTCTAGGTGGTGATTTAGAGAGGCATTCTAGCTTGTTAACTATTAACCAGCAAATGTACCTATCCATTACAATTACTGTGTTTATGGTATTGCAAAATTTCTAATGGGCCTGAAAATACTTTTGTTATCTCCATTTCCCTCCCAGCTATGCCTGATTCTGTGCACAGATCATGATCTCTCTATTTTTCAGTTCTGCATATATAGTAACGGAGATAACAAGAGTTCAGGCTTCTGCTCAGCACATTTTATGCAGAAGAGATTCCAGTGGAGTCAGCGGGATCAAACACTGGTGGGTCCCCTTGTCCTACCTGCGTTTATGAACCATTTGCTCCTACCCCCGTTCAAAGTTTTACTCTGTATATTTAAGGAAAACCTTTGAAAAACCATGTTCTGTGTATTCTTTCTGGGAAGGCTGACTCCCTTGTCTTTTGAGGGTGCAGAGAAGGGCAGGCAGGAAATGATGAAGCTTTGTAATCGTGGGGGAATTTGATCATTGCTTCCAGCAATAGGCTGAGTCAAGAACAAAAGCAGTAAGACAGTATTGGGGTTCTTTGGGTATGTTTGCTGTGTAGTTTAGAGATAACTGAACTATATTTAACCCAGATAACTTAAGTACCTTCAGCATTCTAACCTGACAGCACAGAGCTCAGCTGTGCTGGCTGGGTGTGTGTAAAGAGAACGGCAGTGTCAGGTCTCTGCAGTGGATGATCCCACCCAGCAGTAACAGATCACATGAACCAGTCTACTGATATCTACCTTTGGTTTTGTGGTTAAATTAACTAGGGTAAATACAATATACTGAATCTCTGAGGGTCTGGCTTTTTTTAAAAAAAATGCAGAATCCAAAGCAGTCTAAAAACTCTGACATTCACAAAATTGTTTTATGTTTTATAATTCCAATGAACCACTGTAGATTAGTGTCGGCTGTTCCTCTCTTATATTCCTCAGACAGGAGATTCATGTCCTTCCCTGTACAATCAAGTATTTCATGTTCCAAATGGCACTTGTGCTCTGCTGTTCCACTGACTGCCTCTGCCTAGTATATAGGGCAAAAGGGGCGATATGTATTTTTCAGAATACATGCAAAAGAAACCAACTGCTGTAACTGATCTCCTTGTCTTTGCTCCTTGTTGCAAACAGAGCCGTTTAGCAAAAGTGACAGTGCTTAAAATTCTAATGCCAACCTTCTTAAAAACTGAATTGAATTTCTGTCAAGTACTGTCACACTTGCTAAACAGCTGTGTATGCGAGGGTGACCTTGAATACCCAGATTTGAGTCTCTGCTCTCACTGTTAGTTCTTCTGCCTTGATAGGATCTCCTATGACCAATTCTTCAGCTTGACAGTCCAGATCATAACTGTGCACAGTTGTAGGAGCACAAACTGAAGAACCAGCTGTGGGGAGGGGCTGGAGAGTCCCGAAATCTCCCATCAGCTCTGGACCCCTGTCCCCTTCGGGGGCTGAGTACAAATGGGGATGCAGTGTGACTGTCTCTGCTTGGGCCTTGCCAAGCTGGTGTAACTGCTGCCGGGAGCTGTTAACCAGGCAGTTTAAGTTCCAGTTCAAATTGAATCATCTTGCACAACCAAGTGGAGTAAAAAAAATGGCATGCCTTGACCAATTCAGCCAGACTGTAAGATTGGTTACTTAACATTCGCTTTTTCCCTTTCACCTAAAATTTTTAACAATATGTGAGAGAGACAGTGGTGAACTGGGACTGTGGCAGTGTTAGTTTGGACTGGAGTTCTGAGCAGGTAATATATTTTGTATTGCTGAATGTTTGTAGAGTAAAAAATTCCCTTGATGATGTTTGTTTCCCTTCCACTAATTCTGTTTGACTTTCTGTTGCTATAGAGTAGAACAGAGACCTATCCAAAAAATACTCTCCTGAGAGCTACGCACTGTCTGCGGAGGACCACATTAAGTTTCACACAGGAGAAGCAACATACACTGTCCCTATAAACAGTCAGTAGTACAGGACCTGCTCTTCTTGGAAGGTCAGAGGTGAGTTAGCAATTGATCTTCAGCTTTCCTGTCAGTTCCTTATTATTGGTAGCATGGACCACTTCCCCACTTATGTATTCTCAGTATACAAGCACAGTCTCTGAGCTTCAGAAAATTGTGTCAGGTGAGGAGGGGGGGGAGTTACCACTTAAGCATTCACCCTTCATGAGCCTGTCTTTTGTCCTTCACCTTTCTCTCTAGCCTGTCATGAGATACAGTAGAAATGAGATCCTCCTCTGAAGAGGTAGATATCATCTGAGTCTTAAAATACTTTTTGGCCATGATAACTTTCTAGTGAATTTTTTATTGTAGTGTTTCTTTGCTGTTAACCATTTCTCATCTACCATTCCATTGTTCCTCAAATAAAAGCAACATGAAGTGCCTTTCGAGTTTGCAACAGATATTTATTTAACAAAATGGATGCCACCAACATATCTCCAAAAGGCAGATATGTATAACAAAATAACAACGGTTGGTTTCCAAAATGAAATCAACAGCAATTTTAAGGCAGGATGTTCTGTGAGTTTTCATGCAAGAGCATATTCAAATGTTCCTTTATCCAACCCCTCAACTTCATCTTCCCATGTAGAAGAAGGCATACTACTGTAGGGGTCGAGCAAGATTTTGAAGCATCTGATAATTAGAAGTCCCAAGAAAACACACAAAATCCCCACAAAGGCAAAGCCAGTTTTTTGCTCTAAAGTCAGAGGGAAGGCAGACATTTCATTGACACTCATGCTGGCTGAAGTGTTGCTGCAGTAATTACTGCTCATCATTGGGCATCACATCCTGGTGACTCTGTGGGATTTTCACCTCTATTGCTTCTTTGCCTGCATAGAAAAGTAGAATCAGTTTGGTTAGATCTAAATGAGTGTGTATATCTGAGCTGTAGCATATGAACATTTGGAAATGAAAACCAGCCTGGATTTTAGTAGTGTCCTGTTGTTTTTTCACATTTAAATTAATGTGGTAAAATTGCAACTTTTAGCCTCTATACACCATCCACTTACTGGCCTCTGTTATGAGACAGCAAACACAATTTTCTGGCTTTCTGCCTCCTTAAAACAGAGTAATTTGAGCACATGGCTGTTGCAAACAGTGTTTTGTCAGACTGGGCACAAGCTTACAGATTCTGGTTTGGCAATACTCACCAAGGTCTCCACCTGGAGAAACCAGTACGTTTTCTGAAATGGCTTTATGGCTCAGTCCTTAAACTAGTTAAACTCACAGTGACTTCGGATGGAATTTCAGCCAAATCATGTGGATTTTGCTCATGTCATTTAGCTTGTAAACCTAAACAAACAGATTCGACTTGTAAAATAAAACATTCTGTGTGCAATTTTAGTGAAGTCTTGGGCTCCATTTTCAGAAAAATGCTGTGTGCATTTTGAGCTTGTAAGAAAGAGAGCATATTGGTAAAATTGCCCCTTCACCTTCCTCTATACATGTCCACTCTTGTGTGTGAGGAAAGATCAGGGGAGAAGAGATAACAGAAGTAAATTCCCTTCCCCTAAATCTTGCTCTCATTTGTTTCTCCTCCTTGGTCTTCCCCATTAGATACTTACATATCCTGACATTTTTACAGGCATAGTAAACACCAGATCTGAACATGCTCCTCGTGGAGCTCAGGGGACTGACCCTGATGTGTGTCCTATGGGGACAGGATGCTTGAGCATCTCCACCCCGGCATTGCTACCAGGAGAGCTCTGTGTGTTTCCAGCCAGGAGAGACTTTTGTCTTTTTAAGGACATTTTATCTATAGATTTTAGTTGGGGCTGGGAATCATTCTGCTTTATTTTAGGTTTTCCATCAGATACTGAAATCAGATCTTTCTTTTGTCTCTATAGGCAGCAGGAGAATTGGAAGGACTGGGACATCAGAAGTGCCAAAGGACAAAGACGTTTTTATTTTAAGGTTGGAGTTTGAGGTTTTTTGGCTCTTGTTAACACCTATTTAACTAACACACCTCGAGGGAAAAGTCTTTTCGTTAAAAATTTATCAATCTTTCCCCAGGGAATTCCCAGTATCCATTTATTTCTTGGCAGAGTAATTAGGCCACCCAGAGCTCTGTGCTGCCATGGCTACACTGCTTCAGGTACCTGTGCTGGCAGCCAGTTTAAAGGGAGCTCCAGCATCTGTACTGCAGTCATGGCTGAAAGCAGCCATATCATGAGTCAGGCTACAATTAATAACAACAGGAAAACTAAAAATAAGATTTGGTATTCCTGAGAGGACAGAAATGGATAGAACTTTTATCTTGTTTGGTGTCTCCTTTCTCACTTCAGAATTTGTGGGATTTTGGAATGCTATGCTAAAGAATAAAAATTTTAAAACAAGGATTAAAAGAACAAGGCACAAGACTTTTTCTTTTTTGCAATAGCCCTCAATATATTAGGCATTAAATAATCTGGTTTCCTATTACAGTCTTTACATGTTTGCCAGAGCATAACAATAAACCATGTTTGTTCTGTAGAGCTGTGGATGAGATCCTTCCTTGTTTTGAATGATATTCTGCTCTTGGGTCATGCTGGTTTAATTCCTGTTAAATTGGAGAAAAGATCCAGACAAAGCCTATGGGAATTAGAAGTATTGTCAACAACAATCAATATTTATTTTCTGAAAATACATCATTGATAAAGCCCACCTGCTGTACGGATTTTCATTGGGCATACTTCCAATTTTTCTATTAAGTTTGACCTTCTGTAGGAAAAAAAATGTCACAGAAAGTTCAATATCACAAATTTATGTCACAAATCAGTTGATGTGAACATGAGCCAGTCAAGGAAAAAAAACCAAACCTTCCAAAAGTCCTCGGACACTGGGTTATAAAAATTAAATTAGAGGCTTATAAAATCATATGTAGACACTACTTGGGAAAGCCAGACCCAAAAACCTGATTGCTATCTTGAAAGACATGGAGAGAAATCTTGGGAACAGGCTGGCTATGGAGAACCCTGCATTTGAGCTGAGTCCAGAGAAATATGCAGATGTTTTAGGTGACATTTCTTCACTGTAGAAATTCCAGTCTTGCTAATTTTGCAGATTACACGCTGGAATTAGTGGGATTTGTTTGTAGGTTATGAGCTTGTGAGATGTTATGGGACAGAACTCTGCAAAGCTTGACTGATGCTGAAACACGGAGTAGTAACAATTTGACTGAAAGAGCTGCATGAGAAAACAGTGGGCATTTTGCTTAAGCTTTGAGTTCTTCTCTTCCTTGTCCCAAATTTCAGAAATTGTAATTGAAGCCTTAAAGTTCCCAGAACAATTTGCTCTAATTATGTATCCCCAACACTGTGGTACCAAGACTGATCCTGAGTGCCTTTCTACTGTTTTCACATTTTAGTGCTGCATACAGGTTAGATGTCCTCTCCCAGTTAGTCAGATACCCTTTCATCTGCTGCAGTGTATGTGTCAACTCGTGAGTCAGAAGACCGTGAATATTAACTAACATGGCCTGGATCCAAAAATCCTTGAAGATAACCTTTAGGGCAGTATGATGGGGACAGGCATTATATCAGTTAGAATCTGCAGAGTCATTTTGTAGGGGCTGACCTCAGACTGATCCCTCTTGACTTCTTTTTATAGGTCAAGACTCTACTCATCCTTTGATTTATTGCCTGTATAAAAACACTGGCATAAAGGAAGGCTCTTTAACATCCTGCTGTGAAATAAAAGGCCATTGGAGGACCTTGTGAGGCCAGAAGAAACAATGGGAGCCCTAGAGAAAACAGGAATGAGGAAAATAACTTAGCACATAGATCACTAAGGTAAGAACAGAAGTATGAGCTGGGGGTGCTGGCTGCACCTGTGGAGGGTGAAGGGGAACACCATAGGCTCTAAGTATTGTGAGGCAGCCGGAAGAACGATGTTGAAATTCTTATTCTAGCAGCATCACCAGCCCAACTCTGCCAATGTTTGGTGTGGATTGAAGATCCCAGCCCCAGCTTTTTGGTGGTTTGGGCGTCACTTTTTTTAGACCTAGCATCCACCCCTGTGTTTCTGGAGATACTGAGAAGATTAAGAAAGTAGCCAGTAAGTCTTTGATAGAGACTTCCTCAGTTAATCTTCCTTGTATTTTGGGTTTCAGTCCTTCCCTCACAGAACCCCCTATAGGGTTTTTTTTGTAATGGCTCAGTACTGGAAATGAGTGCCCGTAACGTCTGCTCAAGCTGGGAGCATTCATCCTCCTGGCATGATTAATCCTCAGGTGCCTGCAAACTCACTTCATAAACGATAGCGTGTAACAAAATGGACTAAATCAGTTGCCATCTGTTCTCCCCTTGGATGTCTGCAGCCCAGCTGCTGGTTCACGGATCTGGTCATTCTGAAGGTACTTCAAAACAGCTTCAGTCCCAGGCTTGTGTTTCCGTGACAGCGAGCCTGAATTGAAAAGGTGCTGGTGTGGTTAGGGACAAACAGGCATCCTCTGGGAGCTTCAGCAGCACTTCATTTACACTTAGCTATCTGGTCAAGGGAACTGAACTGTATTCCAGGAATGCTATTACAGGAATTGGGCACAGGAGGTAGTAGGGCAAAAGGATTAGCAATGGAAAGGACCTAACGAAACAGGAATCAGCAAGAATTGTCCAAAGGGTCTAAGCCATCTGAGTTAACAACACATGGCCAGGAATGCTGCAGAAACAGCTCTGTGAGCACACAGCCAACCTGTCATGCTCCTGTGCACACTGCATGCCTGTATTCTCGGAATCGCTGGGGAGAAGACTGTCTCTCTGGGGTGAGGTTTCTGAGACAGCATACAGGGAGATGTAAGTAGGAAGGCCAGAGCATGGATGTCCGGCAGATGAAAGCTTGGATAACTGTTCTGCAAGGAGAGCAAAGCCCCACAAAAACAGGCAGTGCTTTTGCAGCACACAGGGCACAGGCAACACTTTCACATGAACGGCATTCCCCTGCATAGAACCTGCAGCCGGGCAGCGACACTTCCAGCCTTCAGACCAGCAATGAATTGCAGAAATGAGATTTCATCCTTCGTAAATACGCAAACCTGGAGTCTCTGTCGGACGAGAGCTCCTGTGCCCATGAATTCATGTACGTGGTCTAGGTTTGGAGAATATAGAGAGACAGGAAAATAAAACGTTCACTAGCCTCATCCTCAACTTGTGAACGTGGGAAAGTGTTGCCTGCTTCCTCGGGGATGGAGGCTGCGAGAGAGCGAGCACCTGCAGAGCAATTGTTGCTGTAGGGTTGCACGCAGAGCCTTCACTTTCACCGCCCCGCTTCCCTGGGGGGCGCAGATTTGCGCGTTTGCCCTCCCTCCGCCCTCGGCCGCCCCCCGCCCGGGGTGCCTGCCCCCGCGGGCCGGGCCGGGCGGTGCCGCAAGGTCAGGC